AATGCATGGACTAGTTTTTCTGCACATTGTTGTGACAGGATGTGCCTGATTTTTTTACAATGTTATGCAGTTGAAAAAAAGGCAGTCCCTGAAGTTTGTTTTACGTGAAAGTTAAAGTATATTTCAGAAAAAGGAGGTTTAAGCACCAGAACTTCAGTTTTGTCTTAGTTTCACATCAGAATATGGAAAGTCATTCAGGTTTTTATGATCTTAAGGCATTATTGTAATTGCGCTAACTGATTTGCTTTGTCTGGCTTCATCAATAGATATAATTGGGCATCATCTGCATAACAATGAAAGTTAATGGAGCGATTGCTAATGTTAAAGGTATGATAAGGTATATGAATAGAAGGGGATTTAGGAGACAGGCCGATGGCTTAGATGAAGAAATCACTGAAGTCAGTTGGTGAAGGTCTGAGTACATATCAGGTTTTACAGCTTTTCCTGTGTTTGAGGATTAAATCGGTTCCTGCTGAGGGAAGGAGGTGGTGAAATTTGTCTCTAATAGTAATCATTTTATCATTAAAGAAGCAAATGGCTCCATAGAGCTGTGACTCTCTGTCAGCTTGGCTTCAGTGCTGATAAAAAAACCTCAGGCTGTTAAAATTTTCTTCAATCAGCGATGAATAATAGGCTGCACTGGCATTACAGAGGGCCTTCCTATGTGTTTTAAGACTATGTTGCCAGACAAAATGGGATTCTTCCAGCTTCCATATATTATGGCATGGTGCCAGGTGTTTAACTCTCATGTAGAGAACTAAATTCCTTTCATTAATTGACTTTTTAGACACTCTAGTGGCCTGGCTATAGGGATGGCAATGTTGGTTGTTCAGTTGGTACGCCACTTTGGTCCAGAGTATAATATCTCAACAACTATTAGATGGATTGTCTTAAAAAGAAGAAGATGAAGCCTACTGACTTTGGTGAGCCTGTGATTTATCATCTAGCACTACAATCAGATCAGATTTTAGATTTATAATTAAATACTTGCAAAACTATTGATCTATCTCCATCAGCCTTAGCAGTACTTTCTGTTACGTGTTAATTAGCAAATGTTAGCAAGATAACACACTAAACTAAAATGGTGAGCATGATAAACAATATATCTGCTAAACATTAGCATGTTAGCATGCTGATGATAGCATTTAAGTTCCAGTCTCAGAGCTGCTAGCAAGGCTGTAGACTCTCAGATTTTATCTAAAAAACATTAGAATCAGCTTTGAAAAACCCATGTGCAATATGTGTGTAATAATAGAATGCAAATGTGTATTCATGTCATACTGTAAATCCTCCAAAGTTGAACATGGCCTCATTGTCTCAAAGTCAGCTGCAGCCCTGTCTGCAAACTGTATTCCAGTAAGAATTTCAGACATACACTAATACAATGAGTTCACCTTATGACACTGAGAAGAGGCTGCTGGAACATCAGCAGTTCAAAAATAAATCCACATGTGACCTCGTTGTTGCCCTCAATCTTTGGTTGCGAAGGCATTGAACTAATAAAATATAGTACACTACATGTACTGTATGTGAGCTGCTGAATACGGACAGAGATGAACTATTGTTGCCTCTTCGCTTTTTGTTTTGAGCTACAAAATGTGTCATATATTTACAGCTGATCCTGTAAGATAGGATCTGAATTATGATGTATTATTTTTTTTTTGTTCTGGACAGAATATTACAAGAACCGCTCACCAGCAAAACAAAGACAAAAATGACCAGTGTAGTGTTGGATGGATGTACTCATAACATGGCAGTTACAGTCATTATCTCCCAAATGCATCAAATAATAGCTGGTTTTGCAACATTTTTCTTAACCCCACTTGAAAAGGGCACTTTATAGCATGCATAGATATGTGACCAGCCCATAATTATATTTCTACAAATATAAAAACAACAAAGACTTTTGATATATCCACTATTTTTAACATCTGAAGCCTACTTTGTTATATTGGCAGCTGGCATGGAAGTGAAGCTTGTTATGAGTTGTTTTTTTTAATGAAGTGAGAAGTCATCCAGAAACTTTTGCTTATAAAGTAATTTCCAATATCGCCTCATTATTTTTGTGATGCAAATTGAACATATGGCATAACTGAAAGAAATAAAACCATTAAGGTGTTTCCAAAATTCACTGGAGTAAGCTTATTAATTGCAGTGTGCTGTGGCAGTATTGCACTGAACTCTTACAAAATACAACTCAAATCATTCAATCAAGTTTTTCAACATATACATTAAAAGTAAATAATAAAATACAGCAGTGAATATACATTTGTGTTGTTTTACAGATTGCACATGCCTACATCTTGCAGAAGTATGTCAGCAATATAATACATGCTCCACCAAGTCCCACAGGCTCTGTTTTCCAAAGCAAAACAAACACATTACGTCTGTTTGGATGACCTCCTCATCGACCTCCATCTGAGTCAGTGAATTTAAGTCAGAAACAATCTTTTAACTAGCTGTTTGTGTCAGGGAACGGATGTCAAACACACCATAACACTTCACTCAGTCTCTGCAGTGAGAAACAGACGCTGAAAAACAATCAAACTGTTCATTTGGATGCTGCTCTTGCAAGCAAGACTGCACTCCTTTGCTACGTCTTTCCTCCTGGGGGCACTGAGAACATGATTGTCCCGGTGCCTGTCACCACCCTGTGGTGAGAGAATGGGACGTCTAGCATTGGGAGACCTGTCCGGTGTCAGAGCTTCTCCGTCAGGCTGTACAGATCCTCAAAGCCCCTGGAGATGGAGAGGAGAGGAAGAGGGGGGGTGTCTCGTACTTCATCCATTGACTGCAGGGAGCGGGATGGCACTGTGGGGCGGAGACGTAGTGGACAGGAGTGAGTGTGTGTTTGTGTTTGTGTTTGTTAGAAAGAGACAAAATGTGAGCGTGTGTGTGTCTACAGACCTTTGGTCTGTGTGTACTCTCCCCGGCTGAGTTGGCTGTGAGGTTCTGGCTGAAGATGTGAGGAAATGAGCAGGGAGAAGGAGAGGAGCAAAACCTGGACATAAATACAGATAGAAGGACAAAAACAGGCCAAGCATAGAACACACAGAGGCCAGAAGGAAATAACAGAAAGAACGGGGGAAAGAAGAAAGAGAGTTATTAGGCATAACCTACATGCAATTTTGCACAAAAGATGAGTGCAGGTGCTATTCAAACCTTTGACTCGATTAAAATCTTAACGGTAAACACAGCAGTAGTCAACAGTGGAGCACAAGCAGAGGGTTTTAATGATGTGCTCTGGCACTGACCTACATCTATCATTTAGTTGTTACAGATTATGCTGTCTGAGAAAATTCTCAATGGTGTAAATTAATGTGTTATATATCTCACCAGAATGCAGGTCCCTCTGCGTGTTGCTTTGCTGGAGCTGTTAGGCAGGAGAGCCTGTAGCCGGCTTAGCTGCTCCAACAGAGCACTGCAATACAAATAGGAATGGAAGATGAAAGAGACTGTAAAATTTTCACATGAGGGGCCACCAGTTCCTCGAAACACAGGCATCATTTTTTAAGCGTCTATGATCACTGGCAACTAAAACAACGAAAAGAAGAGCAGCATGCGGCGGGGAAGAGTATGTACGCAAAACCCTCTTCCCACGTTTTATTTCAAGTCACTGCAGCACTCTGCCAGCATCAAGAAGAAAGCAGCATAATGAGAATGAAGAGGAAGAAAAGTCAGAGAAAGCTGTGTGAGGTTTTAAAATTTGATGGGCTTTGTATTCTGGTAATTTTACACTGAGCCTCCTCACCCCTGATTTTTGACAAGTAGAAAGTTTTCTTAACCAGGGTCTTCATCTGGAGAGGGAGGGGCCCGGGGACAAAATCAGTAAAGATCAATGAAACGGCACAGAACAAAGGCACAAAAG